CTTAGCATTTTATATATAAAAATGATAACACCAAATCGGTGTTATTATTGTTTGGCACTATACCAGGGTGCTTAACATATATATTTTAGGCGCAAAAATGAATAACATGTCCACTCACATTCACATGAAGTTAGTGGAAAAGTAGCATGTGAATTTTTAATGTTTTTACAACCAGAAAAATTTATCACTTTTAACAGCTCAGTAATATTAATATTGAAACTACTTTTTTAAATTTAACTAAAAGGCTTCACATAAATGAAACTCACAAAATTAAAGCATGGGAATTCAGTAGATCTGTTTCATAAAATTCACTAAAAGATATAATTGAACTTCTGAAATCATTTTTGTAGGAACTAGCACTAAGTTCTTGAATACTATCCAAAAAAAAAAGTAAACCTTTTCCATCCAACATGTTTAATATGGAACGGTATTTTCAATAAGCTCCTCTAAAATTTGTTGCTTGATATGTACAAGTTTAAAAAGTATGATAACTCATTAAAGTGTGCCAAAAAAAGATACTTGTCATATTGTAAAACATGACATAGTGCTAAAAAGACTTGAAATATTGCACTTTGTATGTAGCACAAATAACTAAATTAAATTAAACTGTTGCAATGAGCATATGCAGCTTTTTCATTCAGATTTAAAATACAAAAAGACAAATGTTTAGTGTGACCATCAAATGCTCTAGCATCACAATTTATGATATATAAAAAGGAATCCGAAATATTTTTTACCAAAAATAAAATCTAAGAAACTGATAAATTTTCTTATTAAACTTTGATCCAACAAACCATATAATTAAAAGTTGTTCTTTACTTTAATTCTCAGAAGCTTCATCAGAAAAATGTTTAAAATTTTTAAAACACGGATATAAACATGGATATGCTACAAACACTTGATTTATTAAGAAAACTTCGTATATTTTCTGAGTCGAGACATTTTAAACTTTAAATATTTCAGGGTGAAAGTGGGATGGTACGTCCGACAGTGTTTTTTCATAAATAAAATCAGTTACTTAAAATTTAAATATTGAAATCTAAACTAAATAAAAAGCTCAATCACAGAAAAAAATAATGTTAGGTACGTCCATTGTTTTATTTTGATACGGAGTAACTATTAAAATATATTTCACCTCCTGATTATCGCTAAACAATAGATTTTAACTAAAATTTCACTTAGGGTGTACTGCTTTGGGTACGTCCAAAAATTGTTATAAGTAAAGAAATTGATATTTTGCATTTATAACAAAAAAAATGAAAATTTAAAAACGTTTTTTATCGTTTAACAAAATAATATTGGGTACGTCCATTGACTCTTTTGATTAAATATTATTTATTTATTATTACTTCAACCTCCAGTTAAAAAAGATTTTTTTATTTACCGCTCTAAACAAAAAGCAACTTTAATTACTCTAAACAAGAAGCGAAATTTTTTTTTGTTTGTTTGTATAAAAGTAATAAAACTTAAATTTAATTCACTTAACGGTTAAACTAAAAAAAATTATTCTTATACGCAATATTAAAATAATATATTAACTTTTTTTTTAGATTTAGTTTTATTTTTGGGTACGTCTAAAGACGTACTAGACGTACCCTAGATCCGCCCCTGTATATACATATATATGCATATATATATATATATATATATATATATATATATATATATATATATATATATATATATATATAAATATATATATATATATTATATATATATATATATATGTATATATATATATATATATATATATATATATATATATATATATATATATATATATATATATATATATATATATATATATATATATATATATCAGGACTTGCGATAAAGCATTGGGCAATGTGAATTTTATGTCGTTTAAGAGCGATTTTGCGTGTAGCTAGGGCTATTTGCGTCGAGCAAAAATTTTTTGTTTGAGTATATTTAAAGATATTTTTGAGCGGAATTTTAATGAAGCAATTTACGATTTTTTTAACATTTAATAAAGTATTTTAAAAACCGCACGCAGTTGATATAAAAGTTTGAATTACAAAAAAATTAAATATGCTCATTATTTACAAGTAGTAAAAATTCAGATTGAAAAAATAGTTTAAATCTTTTTAAGCAAACATTTTAATAAAATTATTCAGCAATAGCAAAGTTGTCGATAAAATTGAACAAAAATACTTTCTTTTAGTTTTAGATTTTTAACTTATATAATTATTTTATGGGGGTTTGTTAGGTTTTAAAATTAATCCATAGATTTAAAAATATTTATTAACTGTTAGACGTATTTAAAGTATTTAAGATTAATTTTGAGGAAAAATTTTAAAAATTGGTAAGCGCAAATAAAAAATAATAAAAGGATTAATATTAAAACCTATTCTACTTGAATCAATAAAAAAGTACAGTTAAAATTTTTGTAAAAAGTAACTCAAAAAAAATTACTTAAATAATAACAATCGCTTTTTTGTTAAAAGTTACAGAAACTCTTTTACTTATTTTACTAGAAATAAAATTCATTGTAAACATTAAAAATCTTTTTAAAACGCTCGTTAAAGTTTTTTAGTAATACGATTGATTGTGCTTATCAACCGCTTTAAAAAAATAAATAAAAATAAATAAATAAAAAAATATGATATAAAATTGTTGGTAAAATATTAGCTGTTGCACAGTTTTTAAACGTACAATATTAAAACTTCCAGTTTATAACTCGCTGACTTTTTAAAAAGAAAAAATAATTATTTGAAAATTTTAAATTACATATTTGAGGAAAAAAAATCAAATATTAGCATATTTTATAATCTTTTTTAAATGTTTAGTTATGTTTTTTATTCAATTAGTATAGACAAATATGTCAAACATCAAGAAAAGAAACAAATGTTTTTACATTTTAAAAAACGAAACATTCCAAAACATTTTTAAATAATAACATTTCTACATTAATGATTTTTTTTGG